TTCCGACTACTGTGGTCGGCATATAATTTATTTGTTAATCATTTATACGTGATTAATTTATTTACTATTTAGGTAATCTGCCGATTACTGTAGTTGGCAATTTTAATTTTCTAAAAAAATTTATATGATATTGCATACTATTGTAGTCGAAAAAACTACATTTTACGACTGAAAAGTGTTGTTTCTTTGGTAGACCACCTGCTAAATTAATACTATCATCCATCCACAAAAACTCAACAATAAAATCGAACATCAAATACATTCCTAAACATTCAAATTGCATTCAATTCAATTCAATTGAGTCTAAAAGCTCAAGCATCATCAAAATCAAATCTAATAAGTATTAAGTTGTTATTCAAAAAGGAAGTAAATAGTTCAAAACACGTCTAAATCTCATAGAAAATGTCTAAACAACTATAAAACAAACTACTCTTCATCAGAGTCGGTCCCTTCACTTTCATCAGATTCAGCCATATGTTTCTCCATGAATTTCTGCACTTTAGCAAAGTTAGCTTCAGATGATTGAAGTCATTCTGTAAGCTCTGAAATTTGTCTTCGCATTGCTTCCATTTCTTCCGAAGATTGAGAAGTAGAAGCACCAGACAACAATGATGATGGATGAAACGAGGAAGGTTGTGCTCCAAGCCCGTAAACTCTACCTTTCTTAACACCTCCTGCCACATTTGTCCATATTGATGTAATATCACTAGATGATGTGGAATCCGCATCTGAAGTAGGATGTGCCTGACGCCATTCATCCAAGCCTCTCTGAAATCCAACCTGAAATATATGTATATATAAATCACTAATCTTATTTCTTTCAGACATAATACACAATTAAGTAAAAAGAGACGACCATCACAAAGGAGGACAAGAATTAAACATCTTTCCCTTCAATAAAGCAAAAGTTTCATAGGCATTTCTCTGGTTACAGCTTGCAGCCTCTGAACAAATTATTTCAGCATCTGGCTGAAATCGTGCTAAAAATTTTCGACCACGTTAGAGGTGCCTTGTAGTAGTATGAAATTAATAAAAGGCCTAAAGCTACTTTCAATGTTCATGGTGTATACCTTACTACATCTCAAGCATCTCTAAAGACACCACTATTACAAACATCATATCCCGCACTTTTGTTAATACAACCTTTTATTACCTCATTTCTAGTAAAAGTTTCAAGTAGTTACACCTATTGATATATAGATAACTGATTTCCATATTTTAAGAACACTTCTTCAGCCTTTTGTTTTTGTCCAACTTCCCTTTCCCCTAATAATTGAGAAAAATGCCTTACAAATATAGTAGCGATCTGTTCAGATTAAATCTGCATCTGGATGTTCTCATCTTGAAAATGAAAGTGCTTTGATAACAAATTGTGAAAGTAAAACTGTGATATTTAAAGTACAACTTGTGAGATTTCACTGAGTATGTTGTTGTTGTTATAAGATAGAGAGGTGCTAAACATTGTTAAGTCCTAACTTCTAACAAAGTACAAATTTTATCAGACTGTAAACAACCATATCACACAACTTTAGTATGCACAATGTTTCAACTTGGAAGTGAAGTCTAAACACTAACTAATGAACAAATTTTGCAAGTCAAATGTAGACAAGAATCAGGATAAGCTTATGCTTTAACAGCAAAAGAAAGTTTACCTGTGAAGCTTATGCCTTAACAACTACTTGTTTCTCCAAAATAAATTATTACTCGCCCAAAGAAAACAGATACTACTGATTTAGTTTGATAGACAGAGCCAGACCTGTTGTTTAACACAACACTCTCTCACTAAAGCAGAATGAAGATATCAAGTTTTTCAGTTTTAATGTTCAACTATAAGGAAGCTAAAATGAGTCTAATGCAATAGAGATTAGCACAAATCATTCTTAAGCTAAAATGAGTCTAATCACTTTAAGCCTCAACAACCTGATGATAATTGGTCTGTAGTTCCACAAGATCAAAGCTAATAGAGAAACTTAACCATTTCTTTTTGTCACAATAAACTAGACAAGGCTGCATAATGAGTCCAACAAGAATAGCGAAGAAACTGACAATCATGACCTTAAATGAACATAGTGTTATAACCACAAGAAGAAAAAATCTAAAGCTTACGCAGCCATATCATGATAAAACAGAAGCACTTCTAATATAGGAATGCTCAATCAGAAAAAATAATCAAACAAGTCAATCTTCTTCATTAGATTCATAATCACTATCAAATTCTTCCTCATCACTTATTTCATTTTCTTCAAGTAATTCCTCATCGCTTGTTTCATATTCATCAGTTTGGGATTCCTCCTCGTTAGCTCTGGATGTTCCTTCCCCATAATTATTCAAATCTGATTGAAGGATGGTAGCATCAAATTCTTCATAGATGCCTTCACTATGCTGCAATTCACCTGCTAATTCGTCATCCACCATTGCTTCAACACTTGATATATCATTTTGATACGCTACATCCAATGCATCCTCAACCTCCACTCTCCCCACGGGCTTTGTTTTTATAACTACACGCCACGAAGATTTATTCTTGCACAAAGGATAAGGAACGTAATACACTTGTTTCACATTTTGTGCAATGATAAATGGATCATAGAAACGATATTGCCTCGTGTGATTAATTTCAATTATTTTGTATTGAGGATGCACCTTTGTACCACTAGAATCAGGATCATACCACTTGCACCGAAAGATCACTAGCTTTTTCTTTGGCCAACCAACAACATACTCAAGTTCTATAATCTCTTGAAGCACACCATAATAATCAATATCCCCCTCACCTTTCACCCACACCCCACTATTATTGGTTTTCTTGCCTTTGGACCATTCTTCTGTATGAAATTTGTACCCATTGATGAAGTACTTAGACATTATTCTAACTCTATGATCAGGTCCCCAAGAAATATCAAGTAAAAATTGGACATTTACGACATCCACGACATTAACTGGATTATGAACCTATATTGAATTAAAGAAAATTTAAAATTCTAAAAATACATATAATTAATCAGAAAATACTTAGTAGTATTAGGTAACACTTACATGTTCTTTGAACCAGTCTGAAAACCTAGAATAAACAACATCATTCCCATATGTACCAACAAAATAACTGTCCGACAAAATAACAACTTAAATTAGTTAAAGGGATGATGAATTTTTTTTAGAAGTAGGTAATATATACATATGTACCTATGATAAGGTTGGACCTCAGGACAATTCAATAATACATGCGTTGTAGCTGACTTTAGCTCCATCTCAGTTAACTTTCGCTTTGGAGTATATTTTGGACCTCCTTTTCCTGGATAATTAAATATGGAAAAGGGTGGTGCCAAATGATCGATAATTCCTCCATCATCATGTCGATTGGGTCTATTTCTCAAACATGGCACATCACTTTCAAAATAATATGAATCAAAATTAGACATTTCTCTGGCACGATATGCTTCACGCATCGCTCCCTCTATTCTCCATCTATTTTTTATGGTCCTTTTACTTTTGCCAATAATCCTGTAAAGTGTGACTTTTAGACGATTTTTTAAAAAAAAACTCAAACAAAAAGAAAAATAATTTAAAGTTCTTACCTCTCAAAAGGATACATCCATCTACCTTGAACAGGACCTCCAAGTCGTGCCTCATGCACAAGATGAATAGGGAGATGTTCCATTACATTGAAAAAGCCAGGAGGAAATATTTTTGCCAACTTGTTTAAAGCTAGGCAAATGTTACTCTCCATGTAATTTAGGTTCTCCACCCTCAATGTGCTAGAGCACAACTCTTTGAAAAAAACGCTTATTTCTGTGATGGGTTTCCATATTTTATCATGTAAGGACTTGAATGATATAGGCATCAAAGATTCCATAAAAATGTGACAATCATGGCTTTTCATAGACATCAACTTTCCTTCTTTCATATCAACACATCTAGATAAGTTTGAAGCATATCCATCAGGCATCTTCAAATTCTTGACCCAATCACAAATCTCTCTCTTCTCATCCAAAGTGAATGTGTAACTTGCCTTGGGCTTCTGAATCTTGTTGTTAAGGTATGTCAAGTACAACTCACTTCGCCTGCAATATTCTCTTCTCATCCAAAGTGAATGTGTAACTTGCCTTGGGCTTCTGAATCTTGTTGTTAAGGTATGTCAAGTACAACTCACTTCGCCTGCAATATTCTTTTAAGTCCATCCTAGCCTTCAAATTATCTTTTGTCTTGTTATTGATATCCATCACAGTATTGAATATGTTGTCAAAAAAGTTTTTTTCAATATGCATGACATCCAAATTATGGCGAAGAAGGTTATGCTTCCAATAAGGTAACTCCCAAAATATGCTCTGTTTTGTCCAATTATGTGTAACACCATAACCAGGTATCTTAGATGATGGAGAGTCTGTTACCTTAGGTAAATCCCTAACTCTATGCCACATTTCCTCAGGCGATAAAGTTGCCGGTGGATCTTCAAAATCAGTTTGGTTCTTCATAAATGCACTAGTATTTCTCCTAAATTCATGATCTTTTGGCAAGAATCGACGGTGACAATCAAACCATGAGTTCTTACCTCCATGTTTTAATCTGAATGTTTTTGTGTCTTCCATACAACATGGGCAAGCTAACTTACCAGCAGTTGACCACCCAGACAACATTCCATAAGCAGGAAAATCATTTATAGTCCACATCAGAGCAGCACGCATTATGAAGTTTTGTTTATGGAATACATCATATGTTTCCACACCTTGATTCCACAATAATTTTAACTCATCGATCAAAGGCTGCATGTATATGTCAATCAAATTTTTTGGATTGTTTGGACCTGGAATAATGCAAGTTAGGAACAAATATGGAGTTGTCATACATAACTCAGGGGGGAGATTATATGGCGTAACAAATACTGGCCAACATGAATATGGTGCCGCAGAGACCGCAAATGGAGTGAATCCATCACTACATAATCCCAACCTAATGTTTCTAGGTTCACTAGCAAAGTCAGGAAACACTCTATCAAAATGCTTTCATGCTTCTCCATCTGATGGATGACATAGAACACCAGGTGGCCTTTTATGTTCGTAATGCCATCTCATATGAGGAGCAGAGCTCATTGATGCGTATAACCTCTTTAACCTAGGTATAAGGGGTAAGTAATGCATTGACTTCACCGGAACCTTCTTCTTTTTGACTTTTGTGACTTCCTTATAACGAGCTTGATTACAAAATTTGCAATTTTCTAAAGTTGCATCATCTTTATAAAATAACATACAACCTTTTTCACAACAATCAATCCTTTCTGATGAAAGCCCTAACTTAGAACCCATCTTCTTTGTCGTGTAGAAATCTTTAGGCAAGTCAATTTTACTCGGATTAAGCTCATTCATAAGCCTAATGATAGAATCCATTCCCGCTTGAGAAATTGAATAATCTGACTTTATACTTAGCAATCTAACAGCAACAGACAACTTTGAATGCATTGAACCTTCATATAATGGTCGACTAGCTTCAGTTAACTCTCCATAGAAGCGCTTAGCTTCATCATTTGGTTCTGATTGAACCCCTGGGAACATCCCAAAAGCATCCCTCAACATTTCATTGAATCGAGAATTTTCAACATTATTATTCTCTACAGGATTATCCACACCATCAAAAGCATTCTGAAAATCAACACTAGCTACATTGGCGTCATTCTCTCCATGAACAGTCCATACATAATAATTATCCATAAATCCATTCTTCAAAATATGAAATTCAACTTTATCTGGTTTCAATAACTTGATACACTTGCATTTGGCACAAGGACACCTAATTGTGCCTTCTATAAGAAAATCATTTCTAGTTTTCGCCTTTGCAATAAATTCCTTAACCCCGTTTATAAATTCCACCCTCAATCCCGCACGATTAGGATGAGTTCTATCATACATCCATTTACGATGTGCAAATTCCATTTACACATATTTAATAAGTTGAGAATTTAACTAAACAAACTAGCAATCCAGTTTTGTAGAGAAAATTAAGCATATATTAACTCTAATTTGTTGATCGTTCCTGGAGAAAAATTACATACTAAAGAGTAGGAGAGTTACAGTACTTCAACCAAATTGATACCTTAAAGAGGAAGAGACTTTACAGTACCTTAACTTTACAGAACATCTATATGTTTTCTCCCATGTTCATACTAAAACTCTTTCAATGTAATGCATCATAAACAAGATGTACTTTCTTTCATTCATGTCAAAACAAAAACAACCAAATTGACACCACCCAGCAGCAGTACATGACAGAGATGTATTGCTTTCACATATGTATTATAAACAAGCATGATCATACATAACAAGAATTTACTACATATATATATATATATATATAGATGTATCTTTTCATAAATATATTCAACCTCATAATCCTATGAGTTGTACACTTTGATTATTCAAAGTCATTTCTTCTCCACCACAACTCCAATTTTTCTTGAATCTCACTGAGAAACTTGCTCAGTTTTCTATGCTCAAAATATAATAGTCACTAAAACTAAAAACCACAAACAGAACTCATTTCCCCCATATCCCATGTAATATACAAAATACTTACACTCAAAGTTAGGACTTAGGAGACAAATATGCCACCTCTTTCTGTCTTCTTTTCATGTTTCTGCTTCAAGTGCCTTTTTCTCACTACTACTCTTCTTCCTTTTAAAAAAAATTGAATATTAATTTACTCTGCATGTACTAATGTTTTACTCCTATGATCAAAACATGAATATATGGTGAGCAGTTGCACTAGAACTATTGCTCTTTTACACTTTTTCTTATTCATGTGTTACAAGTAATAAACTAATGTCTGCAATTATATTTTGATTTCAAATAAGAAAAAACAAGAAGAAAATAGAGAACATGAAATATACTCTATATGCTAATCACCTTTATATCTAATTTCTTTTTCAATTCCATGACAAAATTGATATGATTATAATTAATTATTGTACAATCGCTGACCAATCAGATGCAGCTTGTAAACGAGCTTTGAATTTGTCAAGCAATTCATCGCTTGCCTTGAGTTGAACAAAATTAAACATGTTTTGAACCCGGAAACTTAAACCAAAGTAACTCTCAAATATTGGCTCTTGTATGCTGAATCTACAACCTATGTAATATATAACTCAAACTGAAACTTTAGGGAACTAATAAATATATCTAAGCTCGAGGATATATTTTAACGCAAAGAGAAACCATAACAAATACAAGAAAATGCCTAATTGAGGAAGACATTCATATGTTGCAACTACTAAATCTATTTTTGAAACAATTTTCTAATTCAAACAACCCGATTGAAACCCTACTACACAGTAATAGTCTTTACAGTACCTCAACCAAATATAAACCCTAAAGAAGAAGAGTTTACAGTACCTCAACCAAATTGAAACCCGAAAAAGGAGAAGAGTTTACAGTACCTCAACCAAATTGAAACCCGAAAAAGGAGAAGAGTTTACAGTACCTCAACCAAATTGAAACCCGAAAAAGGAGAAGAGTTTACATTACCTCTTTCAAACGATTCTGGAAATGATTTGCTTTTAGATTCTGGAAACGATTTGTCCTCAACCAAAGTGAAAAGAATCGATGGAGAAAGAGTTTACAGAGTAATTTTAGAGAGACAGTCAGTGAAAAAATAGGTTAGAATACTATTACTTTACCTTTAGAGTAGTTTTCTCTTTTTAAATTAATGTTTTCTTTTATAATTAATGTTAGTGAAAAAACGGAACACTAGTCAATTTTCTCTTAATTAAACAATTTTACAATATATGGGTCAGAATTTACTAACTAAAAAAATATTTTTAAAGTAAATGTTGATGCCTAGGATCGAAGTAGGGACCTTCACTATTACTTTACTGTTATCGAAAAATTAAATTAATATTTAATTAAAAAATATAGTAAAATTGCCGACTACAGTAGTCGCCAATTAAATTTTTTTTAAAATTATTTTAACAAAGTACCGACTACTGTAATCGGAACACTAGTCAATTCTTTTGTTGACTTTATTTCATAAAACTTACGACTTCAGTAGTCGAAATCATTATCGGTAAAATTTTAAAACAATTAAAATAATATAAATTTTAATGTACCGATTAAAGTAGTCGGAAAATTTTCTAGATTTCCGATTACATATTTGTAGTCGGGATTTGTAGTCGGTAAATAGCTTATTTCTAGTAGTGAGAAAACCATTTAAAGAAAAGTGATGACTAGGAAAATACTAAATTAATAATAATAATAATAATAATTTACTAACCTATTTTATGATAAAGATTTTCTTGCTAAGATTATATTTTTGAAATGTTTTTATGATTAATGGATTTTTTATAATTTTGAATTCTAATCAAATCTAATGAAAATCATTATATATATAATGCTATTTAAAATTGGCGGAATGGTCTGGTGAACCCTTATACTTGTATCAATTTGTATTCTGAATCCTTCTACTTACATTTGTCATCTGGACCCTTAAACTCAATTAAAATGAGACTTTTAAGCCCCTCCAACCATGTGTGTAGTTCACTCTCCTTTATAAAATTGACATGTCATATCCACATCAGATATATTAATGTCACATCATAATTATTTCATAACTATTTTTTAAAATTATTAACCAAAATTATTTAATAAAATGTAAAATAATAACATTTTAATTTATTATTGGCATTTCTAATTCTCCCTATTTCACGACCAAAAGAAAGCCATCGCCGGCGGCGTCGCCATTTTTGCCGGCGAAATCACATATACTTTCTCCCTCACCCTTCTTCTTCTCCGCCGCACACCATCACTATTTTTCTTTCCTCCTCCAACCTCCACAGTAACAACAACCTAAACCACCGCACAACCAGATCTGGCCAAACTTTTCGTAATCCTCACACCCCAAATTGGTTACAAATACAATTTCACACCAACCTATGCCGTGAAACTCGTCGAAATCTACCCATTATAGTTTCTCCCCTTCCCATTGTTTCATGGCCCAAACCATCGCCGCCGTTGCCATTGTTGCCGGCGAAACCACTCATATTCCTTCCTTTACCTGCCTTCATCTCCGCCACACGTCACGACCATTTTCCTTTCCTTCTCCAACCTCACAAAACCAACAACCTAAGCCAACACACTAGATCTAGTCGAAAAATAGATTGTGGAAAAAAAGAAAAAAAGGGTTGGGCAAGGGATGAATATGGCTGAAAATGAGGTGTAATGGGTGAAGAAGAAGGAGTTTTTTAATTAATGGTTTAAAATATTATTTTTTTTATAATTTTAAATATATTTTAAGTAAAAATGCTCCTCACTCGCCTTAATAGGCGTGTAGTTACACATTTTTGCCAACTCAGACATCTTACTGCCACATAAGCCTGGTCAACGGTCATAGGGGTTTGTTAAATTGTATTTTATTGAGTTTAAGGGTCCAGATGACAAAAGTGTAAGTAGAAGGGTTCAAAATACAAATTGATACAAGTATAAGGGTCCACCAGACCATTCCGCCTTTAAAATATCCCCAAATTTAACCTTGTAAAAGTACCCCATACCAATTATAAAACCCTTCTTTTGTTCCTTAATTTTTCATCCCTCACTTGTATTCTCCATTTCTCTCTCTATACATGTCCTCCACTTAGGAGATCACATTTTCAGCTTTGTTTATGTCATCCAAAAAAAATTCCAATCCAACAATAACTAGTTTGTTGTAGAAATTACAGTTGCGTCCATCCAATCTGGCCTTACTCTTTAACTTAGCCACTTAGAATGTTGAAATACAAAGCCATGATAACTAACTAGTCATCTTCGTGACTCTATTGAAGACAACAAGCAATTGATCAGCTATGTTGGATTATGGTTCTTCGATAGCAGATATCAATATATGATGGAAAAATTACTGAAATACACGTCTTATGTTTTCCTTATTTCCAATATCCCCTTCTATTTCTAAAAACCTCTAAAATTCCTTATTTCTTTAATGTATCCAAGCCAGTATTTAATGTATCCGAGCTACATATTATGTATCTGGTTTATTTTATAATGTATCCGAGCTACATATTATGTATCCGATTTATGTTATAATATATCCGAGATACTCTTTAATGTATCCGAGCTACATATTATGTATCCGGTTTGTGTTACTTTTTAAGGGATTAATGTAATTACAAACTAAAGAGGGATATATTGTAATTTCATATTAAAACTATGTGATTTCTAAAATTTACCCGTATATGATTGTCTATATGTTATAGGAAAATCATAATCCAACAAAGCTCAACTACTTGGTGTTTTCCATAGTGTTTCGAAGAAGAATATAATTGATTATCATGGCTTTACACTTCAGAAGAATGTTTATTTCTTTTTCTGTCAATTCTTTAATTTTAATTTTCCGCATGATATGTTTAATATCACAATATTCAAAAAAAAAATCTCTACTTTTATAATTACATCCCCCTTTTTTTTTAGCTTGATACTTTTGTAGAAGGCTTTTCTCAACAAAACCTTGGTGGCATTATTACTACATAACATTAAATTTAATTTGACGTACTATCATTAGATTATAATAAACTTTCATAACTTGTATTAATTTACAGTTACATAAAAGAAGAATCTCAAATAATGTGTTTCTTAAAATGTAAGAGTTTCTATAACTCAATCTAGACAAAACCAATGAATTGATCATGTTATAATTAAATTATGAATCAAAATAATTTTAAATATCAAATCTTATAAGGTAAGAGAAGTTAATATGGAGATAACCAATTACAAGAAGTTAATATTGATGACTAATTATGTGCAAACAAATGAGGCCAAGATTATGTTTTTAGTAGGTTTGATTTAACTTTGACTTGTGAACAAATATAAAGTAAATCAATATTTATGGAATGTTATTTACAAGATTTCAATAGACAACAAGGAATTAATGAAATTGAGACATTAACATATTA